TGCTGCCTCCTTCTCCATCGCGACCACGCGGTCGGATCCCGCTGTGTAGTGCTCCATCTGCCTACCCATCTATCAAGGTTTGCTGAAAGCGCATGTTAGCGTCTCTTTCTAGTGTTTCATATGTTTCAGAGTTGTTGAAAGTGTTTCGTGTGGATGCTGCAAAAGTAGATCGAGATGTTGCATATGTTGCAAGGTCTGTTCCCAATGTTTCATCGGCTTTTTTTCAGACGTATGTTGCAAGTATGTTTATCTGGATGTTGCATATATTTCACACATATGTTGCAAGTGTTTTATCTGTATGTTTCGTATGTTTGCAATGGTTTACAAGTATTTTCAGGTGTTTTTGTATATATTTGGAACGCATGTTTCAAGTATTTTATACTCGGTGTCCTGTGTGCTTCAAACTTGATGAAAACGGAGTCACTTTTTTTTTCAAATGCAAATGTGCAAAGGAAATATGGGGAGCATTTTAGTTCAAACACCGAAGGCGGAGGTGCTGCGAATTCCTTTTGGTTTGTGATCCAGAGATGAGTGTAGTGCATTGACTATACATAGATTCTACCTAGTACAGTACAGTACGTACGTACACGTTTGGGGACGTGCGCTGTGGTATGGTACAGCAGCATCACGCTCGCGCTAGGCTGCGTAGCGAATTCGAGAGGCAGTGGAATGAAAAGCGAGAGGGGAACAGAGGGACTAGGGAGCGCGCGTGATCCGGGCGACCTGACCGCAGATCTTCGAGCGAGCTGCGAGCCTGCGTCGACGACGCGGCGCACACCGCGCAGGCAGACAGACGTGACCGCCTTCACGTCCGTGTCCGTCCCCGTCCCCGTCCCTCCTCCTGTGGTCGCTGTGGCTGCCTACGACTCCTGTCCGCCGCTGTCCCCGCCCTGCCTCCCGGCCCCTCACCTCGCCGGCCGGCCGGCCGGACGGACGGACTCCCCCAAACAATTCGAGTTGCATTGCATGCAAGCTGCGCCAGAGCAGCAGCAGCAGCAACTAGGACAGGCAGGGCGCGATCCCCGCGGCCGCATCAATGCATCATGCCATCGTGTCCGTTGCGAGGCCCAGCAACCCAGTCTGGATCCCTGGAGCCCATTCAGTACAGGCGTACAGCAGGAGGACGGACCGGTGTACTCAACTGGAATTTTTCGTGTCTCATGAGAGATTTTTCCTCTGAAATTTGCATTTTTTTACAAATTAAATTAATTTATATAAATTTTTTATATGATTCCTATGAAATTCCTTGGGCAGGATGAGTGCAGGTGATCAGGTTGGGTCCGTCATCCTGACAAGACACTGTGTGTGCGGGATACTCCCTCTGTTTGAAAAATGCAATTTTTTGTTTTCAATAAGTCAAACAATTTTATATTTGATCAAATCTTAATAAAAATATATTAATATATATGATATCGAATAACTATTATCAAATTAATTATGGAATATATTTTTATAATAAATCTATCGAAAAACATAAATATTGATATTTTTTAAAACTTAGGCAAACTTAAACAAGTTTGACGTATTCCTAAACCTAAAATCGTCTTTTTTGCAAACTTAATAAACAAGTTTGATGTATCCTAAACCTAAAATCGTTTTTTTACAAAGGGAGTAGAAGACTTAGGGTCTCTTTGGCACGGCTTATGCCGGTTTCGGCTTTATCTATTTTGCGCAGATCGAGGCACTGTAGCGTGAAGCCGTTTTGTAAGCCGGGGTTAAAATGAACTAGAAGCCGAAAAAAGCCAGTTTTTCTGGCTTCACCGGCTTTGGCTTCACCGATGAAGCCGTTTTGGATGAGCCGTGCCAAAAGGGGCTTTAGTGATGTTGCATTCTGTTGAGTAAGTTCATGATTTTATTCTGTTTATCTTCATGTTCGTTTGCTAATTACACTTCACAATCCCCTCAGCCCTACCATTCGCTTCTGATTTAAGCCAATTGCTGCACCGGCTGCTGCTGCAACAGTTTCTCCCACACAAATCTTCCAGGTCAGAGTCCTGTCCTCCAAGAACACAAAGCTCTCCCAGAACAAGAACACAAAGTGCTGCACAGAATTGACAGCTTCCGGTATCCTTTGCAGCAGACAAGTCGATAAATACGAACTATTGATTTATTTCTATACTCGCTCCGTCCCTAAATGTCTATCATTTTCACTTCTCAAGAAACAACTTTGACTACATATATAAAAAATATTAATATTTATGGTATCATTAGATAGATATTTAAATCTAGTTTTCTAATAAATTTATCATGTATTTTCTACAAATCAAATCAAACTTTTGGCACGGAAATCAACGGCGAGTACAATGACGGGCGATAGCCGCGAGACAGGCAATCTATAAGCCGCGCTCTAGTAACTCCGTTATACCATGGTGCACCGAAAATATAGGGATGATTATTTCCATCATCACTATCTGGAGTCAAAAGGTTACCCGTTTTACCCTGCTGATATGTCAACATGTCAGCGAGCAGGAGACCTGATTAGCAGAAACAACAGTTCGACTACACTTCCATTCTTCAGGGTATGGACTATGGATGCCGAGACTTGATCGGACTGACCACAGTTGAGTCGCAGGGCATCAGGGGACGATGTTCATTCAGTATTTGCAACTTCTCAGAGTTCCCTTTGGGGTTGTGCTAATAGCACTCACTGAAGCAGAAAAAGAAGCCCCTTGGCTTGTCTTCCTTCTTGCCCTTTGGCGTGTCGCTGAGGTCGCCCTGAGAAGCCATTAGCGAGCTCATCCCAGGAGATTCTGGAGGAAGGACTGTGTTCTCCGAACTGAATGTGCGGCGAGGGGCCAAGGTTTCTTGTGGCCAAAGGGTGGATAGGTAATGTAGTAGGAGCATTTGCACTATCTGTGTGAAGTTTGGTCTGTCGTTTGGGTCTTCCTTCCAGCAGGACGTTAGCATTTCTGACAACTCCTCAGGCAAGTTATCAGCACTTGGTCTGATATTCTGCAGAAAATAAGGCTTTCATCTGGTCAAATACAAAACACATGTAGTAGTGTAAGAATAAAATAGAGTTCATGTGATGGAACATATTTGAAACACCATGCAAGATATGTGTATATATAGACATACCAAAGCAAACATAACCCAGGGATGCCCTCAACAATTCTTCAGGATAATTGGCTCATGATTTTTTTTTTGACAAACAACATTTTTATTATTAGCAGCAAATGGCTCATGATTAGAGTATCAGGTGTTACCTTGAAAGCAGCAGCGTATGCAGCTTGAAGATTAGACATTCCTTGAAGGGCAGTTTATTGTGGAGTTCCCACAACACAATTCCAAAGCTGTAGACATCGACTTTGTGGTTGCAATACTTCTTTTCTCCATGCCTCAATGTTACTGTGTTGTACAACTGTTGAGATATTCCAGGATATAATAATAATAATAACCCAGAAGGGCGGGCCTGGTGCAAGCGGTAGAGTCTTACCGCCCGTGACCGGAAGGTCCCGGGTTCGAGGCGCGGTCTCCTCGCATTGCACAGGCGAGGGTAAGGCTTGCCACTGACACCCTTCCCCAGACTCCGCACAGAGCGGGAGCTCTCTACACTGAGTACGCCCTTTTTTATTAATAATAATAACCCATAAAATTAAGGATTCAGAAACTGACAAATATGAATGCAGTAGAAGCCTCTGGAGCCATCCAACGATGGCTCCGTTCGCTTCGCTGAAAAAACAAGACAAAACACTGTTCCGGCTGATTTGTTGTGAGAGAAAAACACTGTTCCGGCTGAAAAAACAAGCTGAAAAAGACGGATTATAAGAGAAGCGAACATGGCCATATGTTCCTGTCTCAGCAGTCATCATCTTTGTTAATGTCTCTTCTCTAGCCAAACCAAGATCAACAAGTTTTACTGTTCTCTGGTCTGCAGTCAGCAACAAATTCACTGCACGAAGTGAAGGGAAAAAACACGGACTCAAGATCAACAGTCTGAATACGGAGATAGGAGAGGATGGAACCGTTACGCTCCCCCGCTCCTGCTCCGCCCCCGCCCCCGCCCCCGCCCCCGCCCCCGCATGCCGCCCCCCAGCCCAGATCCACCGTCGCCGGCCACGGCCCCCTGTCGTCGTGCGCTACAGCGCGCTCCCCACCCCGCGGTCGTCCTCCTCATACCACTCGCAAAGCTTGCAGTGGCCACAGCCACAGATCGAGCCCGTCTCCTGCCGCTTCATGCCCCGTGCATCGCCTCCCTGTCGCCTAGTCCCCGAATCGGTCGCCGTGGGGCCAAAAATCCGGCTCGGCGTGCCCGCTGCTGCTTACGGCGCGTCCCCAGTCCCCAACTCGGTCGCCGTGGGGCCGGAGCTCCGCCTCAACGCAACCACTGCTACACCCGCTGCTGCTACCGGCGGGTCGGACAAGACAGGAAGCACGTCAGGCAAGCGTGTCAAGTTCGCCTCCCCCCTCTACAACCACCCCGTGAGATGTTACTACTCCAACGGCGCTGCGCCAACGAAATCTTGCCTTAGATCCGCTGCAGTGAAGCATGCCGCTGGCGCTCAATCCGCCGGGCATTCAACTCCCCCCTCCAGGCTGCAACGCCCTGCTTTGATGGGGATTTCCCTTCCCGAGGGGGGTGGCTCAGGGCTGTCACCGGGGCAAGACAGCAGGCCGATGGGGTGCATTCACGCGCACACCTCACGTCAGAAGATGAAGGTGGATGGTCAATGGTGCGCCCGAGGCGTTGGTGGCGTCTCCCTGAGTTCAAAGGCACGACGCATTCAACTCCCTCAACCACCCAGGTCAAATCGGCGCGCTACCACCACAGCGATGAATTGCAGCGGCGCATGAGAGGTAAATGTTTCCAATGCCTCTCCCCTGGCCACGCTGCGACAGACTGTAGGGACCTGGTGCGGTGCTTCTCTTGTGGCCGCTAGGGGCATAAAAGTAGTGTGTGCAAAGGCAGACCTTCATCCTCCCGGCAGCAAGCTCCCCCGCCCAAGACTGCTCCTCCACCATTCGACGACACCAACTTCCCACCTCTGGGAACGGGCGCGATGGCCAGGCCCGGGGACCCCTCTGTCCATCCTCTAGACACCTGTGCCATGGCCTTCTCTGTCGACAACATGGACCAAGAGCTCGACCGCCTCTCCATGCATGGCATGGTGGCCTGGCTGGGGGGGAACAGCCGGTGGTGGAGCCAGAGGTCATCAAGAGGGCCATCTGCCACCATTTTTTGGTTCGTCCGGAGGATGTCACCATCGTCAGGCACGCCTCCGAAGACTTCTTCATCGACTTCAAGTACTGACACCACCGCGACGAGGCGGTGGCATAGGGGACCTTCCCCCTATCGCAACCTCAACATCCACACAAGGCCGTGGCAGCTGGTCACGCACGGCGACATCTGCGACCTCAAGTACCGCGTTCACCTATGCCTCGAGGGCATCCCCCTTCATGCCTGGAACGAGAGCATCGCCAAGAGGGCAGTCGCCAGAGCTTGCGACCTTGACTACGTCGAGAAGTCTTCGCTGGACCGTGGCGACACCAGGGCACTCTGTGTCTGGGCCTGGACGCACAACCCGTCCGACATTCCAAAGGTAACCTGGCTGACCTTGTCGTGCAGGAAAGCAGAGTTTCACAGTTCACAACCTGCTACTCGTGACCGTCGGGGACTCACCTTTAAGGTGCTGGTGCACCTTGACCTGGTGGAGGACCCACTGGGCAGAGATGGATGTGCTGCTGCTCCCATTGTTTACACGTGGGACTACGGTGTCGTTGACAGAGAGAGGACGCCACGCGACCGCCATGACCCTCCACCTGCTGACATCCACAGCTGCCATCGCGACGACGACGACGACCGTCGTGGACGTCGTGAACGCCAGGGCGACAACTGGTACTCGCGTCTCACCCGTAGCCTTTCGTGGGCGCCCAAGGACCAGGAGCGGGAGCATTCGAAGTCGAGGCATGGTGGCCGTCGACACCGGAGCCCCGAGCACGGAGGTCGTCGACGCCCACTGGACAACGTCGCTGCTAGCCATGGCGCCGCCTATCTGCCCAAGCAACGCTGTAGGTGACAACACGAGGACTCAGCAGTAGCTCGCCAAGCCCGCTGACCCCCGCCGCCCGGTGGATGTCCATCGCCAAACCCGAGGTCGGAGCAGGGAACGGATGCCCCATCGGAGGCCGCACAGACACGCGCGTTCGGAGCCGAGGACCACAACGACGCGCTCAAAGTCCCCGTCACCACGCCTGCGCTGCAAGCCGCATGACTTCAGTGGTGGCAACAGCGACAACCATCACCCATCACTAAGTCCTCCCAAGGTCCCCCCCGTCAGCGACACCGACATCGCGACACAGCAGCGCTCACACCTCGCTGCAGAACGCCGCTTCTACATGGGACGTGTCTACTCTAGGCGGCCAAGTGTCCCCCCCACGGAAGCAGGCACAACCAGCAGGAAGCGCCCAGGTGGTGCGGTTCCGCCCTAGGTTCGTCTACTCCAGACGCTGTGCCCGCGGACCGGCCAACATCTGCTCGCGCCGTCAACGCATGGCAAACGGCCTCTAGTGGCAACAGCCGGAGTAGGCCAGCACAACTCTAGAGGTAGAGGACGCTAGCCATAGCACGCGTGTCACTGCTGCGGCGGTGTCAGAATTTCTAGAGGGGATCTCACAACCTCTGCCTCAACCCATCTTGCATGTTCCATTGCGCCAAGCCAGCCCGCCACAGCGACGCAAGAGGCCTCTGGTCCTAGCACGCAGGAGCGTGCGCATTGCAGCCATGAACTGGCCTAGAGGTGATACTCAGGCGAAGGCCAGGCAGGTGCTCATGAAAAGGCTTGGCATCCTCGACGTGGAAGGACTCAGCCACGACGATGCGTTGTTGCGCTACTTCTGCCTGTTCAAGGGACCACTCACCGATGACGCCATGAAGGCTCTGACGGCATTGTGTGGCCTCGACACTACGGCAGCGCTTCCCACTCCGCACGCTTAGATAGCTGCTGGCGCAGATGGGTAGATGTAACACCCTGGGTGTTTAAGTATTAAAAACTGGACATATCATCATATGCATTGCAAGGCATTGGTCATATTGCAAACTTTGTTATGCATTCACTAAAACAAGTTTACATTTATGTTATAAGTATTGCTTGGTATTGTTTGAATCAAGTTTGAAATCTTTGTATTGATTTGAAATTCCGAAAACCCTGATTTTCAATATTTAAATCCGACCCTGAAAACCCATTTCAAAATCGAAGCACATTTTGGGGTTGAGTCTTAAAGCAAAGTTGTAGAGCTTGTCGAGTTGTACAAATTTGTTTTTGGAGTTTTTCAAGTTATTTAGTAAAATTTGAAGTTATTTAAAAAGGCGAAATTCCTTAAATATCCCCGCTTTGAATTCAAAAGTTCATTCCAAAATGTAGGCCGAATTTGGGTATGGTTTCAAAAGCAAAGTTGTAGAGCTTTTGATTTTGAACATCTTTTGTTTTTGGAGATTTTTGAGTTGTTATGAAAATTTGGTAGTAATTCGTGAAATTTGGCGAATGGCAATTCTGTAATTTCGATGAACAGTGTTCACCACTTGAGCTACACCGCCGGCGAGCTTCGGTTTGCTTCCAGTCGCGCGCGTGGCCGTCTGAGCGTCGCGTTGGCATGATGAAGGCTTCCGCGTGGCTTCTTTGCGCTTCCTTGGTCGCGTTATAAGCCAGCCACCGTCGCCGTTCTTCGCTTTCTCTTCTCCTCTGTTTTTCCAGTGACCGCCGCCGCTGCTCAGTTGAGCCCTCGCCGTCGAACCAGCGTCTGCTCCGTCGTGGCATAGCGCTAGATAGATTCGCCTACTCCTTGCGCACCCAGCCAGCTAGCTCTGGTTGATTGATTTCGCTGTGAGTTCGCCGTTCGTCGCTTTCTTCCTCGCGGCCGGCAACCTCACCCGAGATTCCGTTTCACCGTGGCCAGCCTACTCCGGTGAGCCGTTGGCCATGATCGGTGTACCTATGGCTTCGTCTCGATGCTGTGGTGCTGAATCCTGTGTTGCTTGCTCGTTTTGATCACTGCAGTCACCGGTTCTTCCTCACCGACGATCTTTGCTCTGCCGTGATCACCGTGGTCGTCGTCACGCCTCTCCGTTGCATCTCCGACCTCTCTCCTTGTTTCAACGCGTTCGGGGTGAGCTACTGGTGCTTCCTGGATCCTTTGTTTGAGCTCTATTGGTTTCACGTCGCCGGCGTAGCGCTGCCGTGCCACCGCGTCCGCCATGGCCGCCGTCGAGCTAGTATAGGGCCGTAATCAGTACAGATAGAGACGTCAATCGATGCACCTAGTCTTGGTGATCATTTTGGTACTTTGGCCGTCGCCGTTGGACTCACCGTCGTTGAGTTTACGTCGGTCAGCGCCGTCACCGTCGTGGTCAAACACGCGAGGTTAGGGATGACAGGTGGGACCCGATGTCAGTGACACAGCGTTCAAATTGGATTTTTCTATTTTCAGAATTGAATGAATAGTATTTGTTTTTGTTATTTTTGTGTAGATTTATTTAGAGCTCCAAAAATTCTAAAAATTTTTGTGTGACTTCTCTGTGATGTGTATTATTTAAGAAAAATATGAAATGTTATTTTTCAGTACTTTTTGAATGTGATAAAAATTACTCAATTAATTAATAAATGAGTTTCTAGGTTTTTTCTAGGCTTATTTATGTATCCAAAAATTATGAAAATTGTTTTGCCACTTAGTTATTATGTGATGAACATTTACAAAAATTTTGAGCTCAATTGGAACAAGTTGATTTATTTCATAATTCTTAATTAATTAATTAATTCATAAAAGCAAATAGTAACCTTTAGTGATTTAGGTTTTATTGGAGTTTTTTATTAAGTGATGTCCTTGGGTCATTAGTTGGTGATGATCCTTGGCAATTGTTGTGAGTGTTGCGAAAATGGCTTAGTTAGTTTAACTTGTAACTGTACCGCGAAGGAAAGTTGTATTCAAGTTGTTAATTTTTCATCCATCATCGAGCATCATGTTTCGTATTCCGCATCATGTTAAACATGGCATTGTTACTACGTGTAGTGAACGAAGGTGAACACGTGGTAGTTAATCAAGTAGTTGAGGAAGTTGATCCGTCAGTGGTGGTTGGTGTTGATATCGGTGGAACGACTCCGGACCCGGACTTTTCCGTCAACAAAGGCAAGCCCCGGATACATACAACCCTACCTTGTATTTTACAAATTGATTTCGCTTTTGCTTCTTTTTACCGCATTAAGTGATTAGGAGTCAAGTGAAAACCGAATTGGTACATTACCAACCTTGTTATTCCATATTTACCATATTACTAGTTTTAAATTCGTATATGCTTAGTTTTGCTTAGCTATGCTTAGAACGATGAAAGTCGGGTGATTACCTGTCACCTGTGAACTTTAAATGGAACTTTGGTTAATTATGTTAACATGTGATATGGGAATATGGAGTAATAAATCTAGACCGGGCGGACTCGTTGTGTGTGAGCCACAAGACATGGAGGTCTTGTGAGCGGGTTCTTTCCGCCTGTGTCGATTAAGGTCCCTACCGTTGTTGAATTGCATGAGGTGAGACTTTGTAGTACTAACCGCATACTCCGGTAAGCCTTAACTTGGTTATTCTATTACGAGAATGGCTACTCGCGCACTGGGAATGAAGAGATGACGGGAATAGCGTGTACCCACGTGGCAATGGGCTAGATTGGTGGTGTACTGTATTCTCGGGTGGTGCGGACCCGTTCTTGTTTTAGAGGATGCAAGGGTAGGTTGATATGTGTAACTCGGGGACCTACATATGTCGTGTGGTCTGGAATTCCCAGCTAGGTTTTTAATCGGTTCGAATCGTCGTTGCTCCTCGGTTATGGAGACTCAACTCACTGTTCATCATCGTAGTATTAAATAACTGGAATTTGAGAATGGTTCGAGAAAGTGTTGGATATGAAGTTTCATGATCTCATTGCAGATCGTGTCAGCTTTGTATATGATCTTATGAAGTTTTAAATGTTGATATAAAGAATTTTGTTAAAGAGCTTTTACGCAAAAGAACTTTGATTATTGCTAAAGCCATACTTTGAATCCCTGAGCCTGCATTCCCACGTTCTTTTAAATTCTTATTTCGGTTAAGTCTTGTTGAGTACTTTTGTACTCAGGGTTCGTTGACCCTTGTTGCAGGTGAGTCTCATGAGCAGATCTGTTTTGGATCGTGCTGCATGACTGTTGTTCAGTGCGAGGACGATAAGTAGATGTGTGGCTCTTGGGCAGGGCAGCCTATTTGTGTGTTCTGTAATATGTTATAATGCCACTCCACTACTTTGTTTTGTATTATTAATCGAACTTAGTTGTATGGTTTGAAACAAATGGTTTGTAAACTATGTTACTGTAAGGCTTCCGTTGTTTTTACTCTGATGTATCAATTTGAATAAACTGTTGTAATACTGCAATGACTCTGTAATGTGATTCTGCTCGGAAGTCATGGATGATTCGGGGTTCCCCGAGGACACCCGACAGTCTTCTTAAGTTACCGAGAACGTATGCATAGATGTTAAAGGTCGTTGGACATTGACAGGTGCATGTGGGCCCTATAATTTAGGAGGTTCTGCCACAGAATGGTATCAGAGCGATCGTTACAAGGTTTTTGTGGTATTGGTTTATGCAAACTTCAAAATAATTTGGGATGACTAAATTTAACTTATTAATTTGGTCCAAATTGCTTCTGACTTGTCTTATTTCCTTCTCACCATTCCTTATTTGATTAAAAAGGTTTTGTGTGGTGGAGTAGTAATCTTATTATGCCCTAAATAAAAACAAATGTTGTTATGTTCGTTTTAAGCTTTAGTGGTTTTGTTCATAAGAACGATTCATGCATCATAATTAATTCACTTGTTACTTCCTTCGTCTCTGAGTCTGGGTGAGTAGTGTGTATGGGTTGAGTTGTGTAGTCCATCCTTACTGCTCTTGAGACTATTGTCAGATTGTTTTACTTGGATTAATCCTGCTTGTACAGTATGGCTCGTACCAAGAAGACACCCCGTAAGTCCACCGGACCCAAAGGAGTTCCTCGGCACCAACTAGCCCCTAGGAATGACGGTGCTAGCAGTAGCAGCTCTAGGCCTGATCCTCAGGCGGAGATACAGAGGATTTCTACAGAGTTGGCCCAAGCTACTAGAGATAGGGCTATGGACGTCATCCAGGTGGGTAGATTACAGGAGCAGTTAAGACGTCTCACCACCGCTCACAGGAACTGCGAACGTATGTTAGTTCATACGGTGGAAGGAAGGAATGAAGCTTGGCATCGGGAAAATGTAGCTAGAGCTAGAACTCATGAGTTAAAATTTTATGTAGAAGATTTAGAAGAGCATAATACCTATCTGCATGAGGAAGTTCATAGGTTAAGCAATCTCCTAGATCCAAATCATGAACCCCAAGTTGATGCAACGGATCCCGGTGTTATCTTTGTCGATGGTAGTGAATCGGAAGAAGAAGAAGAAGATCCCGAAGAATTAGTAATGATCGATGAAAGTGACAATGAAGGCGGTAATATTTCCGGAATGGATACCGAGCCTGAAGTTTGATGTAATCGTGAAAAGGAGTAGAGTTGTATAATAGTTAGTTCTAGTTTAAGTTAAGTAGTCTTGTTTAAATGCGGTCTTGTGTTTAAATAAGTGAAACTAGTGCAATGAGTTGTAGTCCGCTCTTTTATCAATCAATAAAGGCTTGTGAGTAAAGTTTGGTTTGTTGTGAACAGATGCGTCGTACGTGGGGTTCGTATATTCCTGGTACTTCACAAGATGAGAATGGTATTCCAGATCCACGACCAGTTCCAACAAATCTAGCGGATGCTATAGCCGCACTTGTCAATGTGACGGTTGAAAATTCTCGTTTGCTTCATGAGATGGCTCAAAGTAATCAGAATCAGATGCATGGAAACCGTGGTCGCCATCATAATAGGCAGGAGGCTACATATGTGGACTTCACAGATACAAAA